TGGTATGGACATTGCAGTCTCGCAACCATTACAGTCCAATAGCAATCAACACTGGAATTGTTGCAAATTGCGCAGGCCGTAGTCATCGCCTCTACTAACTCAATCTCGTCCCTCGAGGGAAAACACTTTTTTTTGGACCTCGTTGCATTTCTTTTGGACCTGGACACTTTTACTGGACCTTACAACAGTTCTTTTGGAGATGCTACCCTTCTTTTGGGCCTGCACACCGTCCTGCTGGACCTCACTCCTGCTCGACCTGGCCCTTTCCCAAACCATACCCTTTTTGGATAGATTCTCCAGTTTCTGTCCAGCCGCGTCTGCATCGCAATTTTTCAGACAGTAGGGCGCTAGAGCTGCGCTAGCAATCAACTGAGCAGGAACTGCCATGTAGTGTCCTCACAGCTTGAGCCGACTTGGACACTCATCCTGGTGAGTTCGTTGCTGCTTGCGAGGGGTATAGCCAGTCTGGGAGCCTTGAACTCCAACCTGTGTGACAAAAATGACAGTTACCCTGGCTGCCGTGCCTGGACAGTAAGGGGCCAGAGCCGCGCTAGCAGCGTCTGCTTCGCAATCCCCAGGATGGGTCATTGGTGGGTTCGTTGCTGCTTGCGAGGGGTATAGCCAGTCTGGGATAGCAGCTAGCATGCAACATGGCAGGAAGCCTTTCCTGTACACGGTCTGCTCCCAAACCATACCCCCTTTGGATAGATTCTCCAGTTTCTGTCCAGCCGCGTCTTGATCGCAATTCTTCAGACACAGTTCTTGCATTCATCTTCTTGCATTCCAGCCGCGTCTACATGTCCATACGTCCTGTGACCGGATACTAACCAATGATGTTACATTGATTTCGATGTCGACTCATGTGGCACCCTCAGCTGCGACCATTGCACCCAGGAGCATCCCTCCCCGGTACGTTTACACATCTGTCCATGACCGTCTTCGTTGCCTGCAGCCGATGTGGGTTCAAAGTCTAGGCTTCACCCGTCAACTCTCAGCAACTTATTGCGCTCATCTTGTTCTAATATCTAACTTTCTCTTCCCCAATGTGCCTTTCAACTTCCTGCATCCATTTGTTTTCATATGTACGTTTCCCCCCGTTGGCCTCTCCACAACTTCTTGCCTTTATGCTGTTTCAATATCCGAATTTCTCCTGCGCCCCTGTGCCTCTCAGCAACTTCCTGCATGCATTTCGTTTCAATATCTCGGCTCCCCCTGTCTCTCAACAACCTCTTGCGATCACCTGGTTTCACTATCTAACTTCCCCCCTGTGCCTCTCGTCAAACTTCTTTAACTTCCTGCATGCTTTGGGCTTCAATATCTATACTCTCCAGGGGGTGCACATTGGGTTTCCCACCTCCTTCCCATTTTGCCCTCTTCTTCTCAATTTCTACTCTTCTCACCTCTGTGCCCCACTTGGGAGCATTCACCCGGCTTCAATATCTAACTTCCCCCCACCCTTGTGCCTCTCACCAATTTCCTGCATTCAGTCGCTTGGTCTCAAGACTTCACCTCTGGCCTCTTAACAACTTTTTGCATGCATCTCAACTTGGTTTCAATGTCCAAGCTTCCGCCTTGGTCTCTCGAACTTCCTGCATTGCTTCAATATCTATACTTCCCCCCGCAGCCTCCCCATAACTTCTTGCGTTCATTTTGTTTAATATCTAAGCTTCCTCCCCGGTGCCCCACAACAACTTCCTGCATTCATCTTGCTTCAATATTCCCAGTGCCCCTAAGCAACTTTCTGCATTCATTTGGTTTTATATCTGGTTCCACCGTGGCCTCCTAAAGTCCCCCCCACCTGTGCCTGTCCACAGCTTCCCGCATTCATGCGGTTTCAACATCTCAGCTTCCCCACGTCTCTCCACAGCTTCTTGCATGCACCGTCATTTGGGTTCAATATCTAGACTTCCGCTTCTTGTCTCAGCAACTTCTTGCGCTCATGATTCATCCTTGTTTCGATGTCTAACTTTCCCCTCCCACCTGCCTCTTTCTCACCAATTTTCTGCGGTCACCGGGCTTCAATATCTACATGTTCCCCCGTTTCTCTCAATACCTTCTTGCATGCATCTTGTCTCAATATCTAAATTCCCCGCACCCTCTTCCGGCATTCATTTTTCGGGTCCCAAAAATTCCCCCTGCGTCTCTCAGCATTTTTTTGCATGTATCTTCATGTATCTTCATTTCGTTTCAATGTCTATAGGCTTCACCCCTTATCTCTCAACAACTTTTTGCGCTCATCCTGTTTCAATATCGAACTTTCCCTTTCCCCTATGTGCCCGTCAATTTCCTGCATCCATTTCGCTTCATATGTAGACTTTCCCCATTGGCCTCTCCACCACTTCTTACGTTTTTCTTGTTTCAATACCGGAACTTCCCCGGCATCAACAACTTCTTGCATGCATCTTGCCTCAGTATCTAAATTCCCCCCGCCCTGTGCCAGGTCCAAAAAAACGTGTACGAGTCCAAAAAAGAAGGTGCCAAGGCCCAAAAACATCCAGCCCAATGTGAGCGCCTATAACAATGGAGTTTCCCCTCCCCCCTATGGAGGCAAGGTCCACGAAGCAGGTGCACGGGTCCAAAAAACAAAAACCGAGCTCAGAAACAATTAATTTGGCTGTCGAAAAAAAAAACCTGGGTCCAGCACAAATACATGCAGGTCCAAAAAAAATATCCCCACAGGGTCCAGAAAACACACAAGCAAGTCCCCCACATTTTTTGTGACCCTAGGTCCAAAAAAAATTCTGGTTAGGTCCAAAAAACATGTACAGGTCCAAAAAAAGGGTGCCCAGGTCCAAAAAACATGCATCCCAATCTCGAGGGGCTTGACTACTGTCGGTCTAGAATGCCATGCACTAGTATAATCTACATTTTGAGCACGAAAGCTTCGGATTTTGGCCACCAAAGTGTGACAATAGGCTCAACCCTGGAGATCCCAGAGTACATGAGTGTCGTGCGTAACTGTAAAGGCCCGTCGAGGGTGGAGGTTGCTTGCAAGGATTGTGGGGTAGACATTCCATGACATTCCTCTGCTAGCTGGTGGTCCGTAAAACATGTTGGCACCAACCCCAACGTTCGAATGCACGCCTGCACGTGGATGTGAGGACCCTACAGGATTGTTTGTCGTGACAAACAATGGTTTTTTCCATTTTGAGGTTTCGGGTGGAGGTGTGGTGGCGGGCTGGGGTTTGAGGCTGATGATAAGACGTTGGATTTGTAAGACGTGAGGAAATTTTGTCTTGTGCGAGAAAGTCGAGGGAAGACACAGTTTGTTGGGCGAGACAAGAACCCCTTCAAGATGACACAATCAAGACCTTTCTTACTTCATGGTTTCCAAAGCTTGGTCTCTTCAGTCACACGTCCAAAAAGCCGCCTCCTCAAACTGCAAACCAATAGATTCGAATTTCTTCTGGACAATTACCTCAGAACTGCGTGCATCTGCGTGCACTCCCTTCAATCGACGGCAGTGTGCCCTTTGCTGCAAAGTGACGCTCTGATTTGCTGCTCGCAGCTCCTGGCAACGATAACTGGGAGTCGTCACGCTGACGAATTTCTTCCTCCTTATCACACGGCACATACCAATGAGATCACATGATATATCACTCCATCTGACACGGTCTATGCCTATGATCTGGATGCTTTCATTGAGGAATTCGGGCCTCAAGCGAGATCAAGCCAGACCGCTTGGAGTCAGACCTAGAGCCAGCGAGGAAACTAAAGAAAGGACACACTGGACATATACATTAATTTGCTGCACTTCGGGTAAAATAATGCAGTTTTGCAAAGCAATCTTTCAAAAATTGCAGGGTTCTGTTCCGTTCCCTTCCGGGTCTGGACTCGGCACACAATGACACATCACCGTAGACGCAAAGACTGAAACCCAACAGGCACTGCTGGGCGGAAATTCTGAAACACAAACACAATGCACAATGTTGAACAACCAAACCCGCTTTCTTTTTGTAACAAAAAAAGAATTCCTCATATCACTCCGGTGGTCCACCGGTTGGTGGCTTCCTGGCCTCGACAGGATGGCGACCAGCTGCTGGACAGTCTCCTACCGCCAAGAAAGGGGCCCCCACTGCCCCCGCTGGCGCGTCATCATCATCATCATCAGCAGCAGCAGCAGCTGCAGCAGCTGCAGCTTGAGCAGGAACAGGAACAGCAACAGGAGCACGAACAGGAACAGGGAGAAAAAGAAAAAAAAGACCAAGAGAAAGAAGAAGAAGAAGATGAAGAAGAAGATGAAGAAGAAGAAGAAAAAGAAAAAAGAAAAGAAAAGAAAAAGAAGAGACGAAGAAGAGAAGAAGAAGAAGAAGAGGAGAAGAAGAAGAAGAAGAAGAAAAGAAGGGAAGAAGAGCAGAAACACAGGAGCAGGAGCACAACCGCAAGCGCAACTCCCAACCACACCCACATGTACAGCAGTTTAGATGATTGCGAAACTCAACCACTCCTCAGCTGCTACACAACTACTACTGCTACTGCTTCTGGTGTTAGCATTTTTGCTTTTCTTGCTATGATGTATATATATATATATTAAATTATATATACACTGTTCTTGCCGCTGCAGCGAAAAGGTAGTTTGCCCAAATATTTTGCGGGGGCTGCGTGGAACTGGAGCTCTTCTGTAACCTGCAAGTCTCGGGCATTGCCTTTTGATCCTCCAAAAAAAACTAACCAGCAATGTCCAGTTTAGCCGCAACCCCCAACTGGCCCGGCAACACCCGCACCCAATGCTGTCATCCTCCCGCAACAGTTTATTCTGAGCGCTAGTTCTACTTACTTGTCTTTCTCTATCCGGTGACTCTATCGCCACATCTACCACGACGAGGAATGTTCAGGCAATGGTAGAAGCAGCTGCAGCGCTAATTACGACAGCAACAACCATAACAAAGCAGCAAGGCTTGATGCCACCACAAAAGATACAGGCTCTGATCAGCAGAAGCGACGAAGGAAATGTCTCAAAATGCATTCAGCGGTCCGCCTTAGAAGCTGGCGAGGGCAGTAGAAAGAAAAAGTCAGCATGTCTTCATGTCGTCAACTATTCTGAGCCTTGCGATGTCTTGCAAGTTTTTCTTCTTTCCGCTTGTCGACCACCTCAAGCCAAGCTGAGAGTCTTTGCACTGGCTCAGTTTTGAAAGGCCTCAAAAGCCCCTGCCTTTCGAATCTGTTGCAGTGTCTATGCAGGTGTATGTAGGCAGATAGATAGATACAGACAGAGATACAGATAGAGATACAGATAGAGACACAGTTAGATACAGATGGATACAGATAGATACAGATGGATACAGATGGATACAAATAGATACAAATAGATACAGATCGATGGATGGATAGACACAAGCAGATAGATAGTTATATAGATGTATAGATACATGGATAGGTAGTTGGATTGGGTTACATTGGGTCAGATTGAATTGGTATTGATTGGATAGATAGTTCGGTTGGTTGATACACAGGTTGGTAGACAGCTAGGTGAGCAGATACATGGGGAGGATCGGATCGGATACCATTGGATACCATTGGATGGGATAGAGTAGGACAGGACAGAACATGATAGGATAGGACACGATGTATATACAAGACAAGATAGAACAGGATATGACGGGAGCAGATCAGATTGGACAAGATTGGACAAGAATGCAAAAGATTGGTAAGCTAGATCCGATTAGATCGGATTCGACCAGATTGGATAAGTTAAGAGACACGAAATTAAAAGTAGATGAGAATACATAAGGCTAGATAAGATCAGATAAAAGTTCATACTTATAAGTAAGGTAAATAGACTAGATAGATTTTGGATCGGTTAGATCGTCTAGATTCAATTCGATTAGGTTTGATTAAAGTAGAGTAGAGTGGATCAGACCGGAGTAGATTGGATTAGACTGGAGAGATAGAAAAAAGTAGATAATCAGGTAGATAGATAAGAAGGAGGTAAGATAAGCAAGATAGAAAGATGAATTAGATAGACAGATTAGATAGGTTGAATAGATAGATCAGACAAGACAGGATGACATGAAGACAGGATGGGCTTTGATTAGATTCGATAAGAGCAGAAGGTGTAATAAGACGAGACAAAACAATACCAGGTATTAGAGTAAATTAGAGTAAAGTTGACTACTAGATAAGAGATTATATAATGTGTATATATAATAATATTATATTATATGTGTATATAATTTTATATGTATATGTAAGTGTATGTGTATATATATATATACATATACCAAAAATAAGATAGATAAAACCGACAACAAAAAAGCGAGATAGACAAGGCCGTTGAGACGGGTAAAGACAGATAATACAGAGAACATTGATGAGATAAGCAACATAGATATATAGATAAGGTAGATAGGGTAGATGTACTAGATTAGATGGGATAAGATGAACAGAATCGTTAGGACAGCTAAAAAAAGAACAGATTAGATAAGATTGCAGGTAAGATGAAATCAAGGTCAGATAAGATCAGATGGGATCAAACAAATACATTAACATAAGATAGGATGTAGCAAATAGGTAGATGAATGTAGATAGGTAGGGAAATATCTAGAAAACAACGACATAGATAGAATCAAATAAATAGATAGAAATATCTAGGATGCATGGATAGAAGTCGATAGACATCATTGAATCACGTAAGATAATACAGAACATGCCTGTCATATTCCTAGCTTTACAACTGTTAGACACTTGTCTCTCAGTCGAACCGTGCCTGAGCAGCAGCTAAGGTGTTTTCTACAATGATGCCGACAACGACGTTCCTCATCTCGTAGCACATAGAGCCCGTGGCCAGTGCAAAGGTGCACTGGCATGCTTTAAACCATGATCTGTTGCGCTGAAGTCGTTGAGGCTTGCACATGAGGCCAAAGGAAGTGAGGAGGATAAAGCAAATGAAAAAAACCTCAGTCGCCGGGTCAGCATTGCTTGATTTGTACAATCTGAACGGCCTTACCATGTGCCCCTTTTTTCCCGAATGCGTAGCAAGGGTTCCCGTTTCACTCTGGGGGTCTGGGGGTTGAGGGTGTGTTCGCTCGACGTTGCGTTCACGGTCGAAACCGTTCGCAACCGTCCGCAACCGTTCGCAACCGTCCGCAACCGTTCGCAACCGCCCGCGCGAGGACCATATGGCCGTGCCTATGGGAAGTTTTGCAGAGGTGGTCCTTTTTGGCGGTTTCAGACGTGTCGTTGCTTCGTTTCGCGTGGCAGGCGTGGCACTTCGTGACAGTCAGACGTGTTCTGGAACGTGTCGAAAGTCGTTTTGCGTGGCAGGCGCAATACTTTTGTGACGTTTTCAGAAGATGTGTTGCAGCTTTCGTGGCAGGCGCAGCACTTTGGACGCGTCCATCGTCATTTTTCGTGGCAGGCGCAGCACTTTAGACATGTCGGGTTGCGTGTTTTTTCCAAATCGCATTGGCAGGGCTGCGTCAAGTGGCGACAAGGTGCAAATTCCGTGGCAGGTGTGGCATTTTGTGCGAGGTGCTGAAAATGGACGGAAGCCTCGCACGAAACATCGATTTTGAGGTTGCAAACTTTCAGGTTCTAAGGAAAACTGATAGGAAAACGTCGATTTTGAAGCTACAAAGTGTGAAAATTGGGGGAAGTCTCGCACAAAATGCTCGTTTTGGTGCTCCCACCTGTCTCGTCTCGCGTGTCTGGTTTTCCCGTGGCCTCGCCGTGTCTATGGGGGAAGCTGCAAAACGTGTCCTTTCGTCATGTTGCCAACTGTGAAAATTGCCGGAAGTCTCGTAGGAAATGCTGGTTTTTCTGCATCCACGTGTCTTGTCTCGAGTCGCTGGTTTTCCTGTGGCGTCGCCGTGTCTATGGGGGAAGCTGCAAAACATCTCCTATTCGTGTCCAAGCAGGTTGTCATGCCGTTTTGTGTGGCAGGCGTGGGACTTTGTGACATTCCAACCTGTTTGATAACGTGTCGAAAACATCAAAATTGGAGGAAGTCTCGCACGAAATCCGCGTTTTTTTTGCACCCACGTGTCTCGTCTCGAGTCTCTGGTTTTCCTGTGGCGTCGCCGTGTCTATGGGGGAAGCTGGAAAACATCTCCTATTCGAATGTGTCCAAGCAGGTTGTCATGTCGTTTTGCGTGGCAGGCGTGGCACTTTGTGACATTCCAACCTGTTTGATAACGTGTCGAAAACATCAAAATTGGAGGAAGTCTCGCACGAAATCCGCGTTTTTTTTGCACCCACGTGTCTCGTCTCGAGTCTCTGGTTTTCCTGTGGCGTCGCCGTGTCTATGGGGGAAGCTGGAAAACATCTCCTATTCGAATGTGTCCAAGCAGGTTGTCATGTCGTTTTGCGTGGCAGGCGTGGCACTTTGTGACATTCCAAGCTGTTTGATAACGTTTTGAAAATGTCAAAATTAGAGGAAGTCTCGCACGAAATGCTCGTTTTTCTGCAGCCATGCGTCTCGTCTCGAGTCTTTGGTTTTTCCTGTGGCGTCGTCGTGTCTATGGGGGAAGCCGCAAAATCTTTCCTTTTCGAAGGTTTCCAAGCAGATTGTCGCGTCGTTTTGCGTGGCAGGCCTGGCACTGTGTGACATTCTAACTATTTCCAACCTGTTTGATAATGTGTCGAAAATGTCAAAAGTGGAGGAAGTCTCGCACGAAATGCTCGTTTTTCTGCATCCATGCGTCTAGTTTCGAGTCTCTGCTTTTGTTTGGGTGAGCATGACATAAAGACTGTCAGATTTCGTACGCGCTGGACTGTTGACTCCGTGAGGCTTGCGGTTTGAAAAGATATTGCAAGACTGCGATTATGTTGAAGGTGGAAAGTTGTTGTCTGAACCCAGACAGATTTCGCACAGTGTGGTCTATATATTTTCGGTTCTGCGTCGGCAAACATTTCGGCTGTGCTCAATTGCAAGAGGGCACCAAGCATTCACAGTTCATGACAGAGGGTTTATAGAGATAGTGCAAGACGGTGATTATGCATGGGAGTGTTGCGGATTCAAGCATGAAGTTTGACAGCGATGTTGAAAGGGTTGCTGAGATGCTATGTTTGACTATTTTCATTTTCAACTTTTTTCCCGAATGCGTAGCAAGGGTTCCCGTTTCACTCTGGGGGTCTGGGGGTTGAGGGTGTGTTCGCTCGACGTTGCGTTCACGGTCGCAACCGTCCGCAACCGTTCGCAACCGTCCGCAACCGTCCGCGCGAGGACCATATGGCCGTGCCTATGGGAAGTTTTGCAGAGGTGGTCCTTTTTGGCGGTTTCAGACGTGTCGTTGCTTCGTTTCGCGTGGCAGGCGGGGCACTTCGTGACAGTCAGACGTGTTCTGGAACGTGTCGAAAGTCGTTTTGCGTGGCAGGCGCAATACTTTTGTGACGTTTTCAGAAGATGTGTTGCAGTTTTCGTGGCAGGCGCAGCACTTTGGACGTGTCCATCGTCATTTTTCGTGGCAGGTGCAGCACTTTAGACATGTCGTGTTGCGTGTTTTTTGCAAATCGCATTGGCAGGGCTGCGTCAAGTGGCGACAAGGTGGCTACACTATACACTATACACTTTTACATTGTCTACACTTTACACTCTACACTATACACTCTACACTCCACACTTTACACTTTACACTCCACGCTCCTCACTCCACACTTTACACTCCTCACTTTACACTCCACACTCCACACTTTGCACTTTACACTCCTCACTCCACACTCTACACTCTACACTCCACACTCCACACTCTACACTTTACACTCCATACTCCACACTCTACACTTTACACTCTGCATTCTACACTTTACACTTTACACACTCTACACTCCCCACTCCACGCATTACACTCCACACTCCTTACTTCACACTCCACACTCCACACTCTACACTTTCCACTCCACACTGCAGACTGGTAACAAGGGAAACATGCACAAGACTGTTCAAATAAACTATTGCAGAAAGGTATTGTGCGTGACTGCATAACCATGTGTTTTGACATCTGTACCATTAACATACGTGTGAGCATTCGGGTTCGTGGGCTTCATCTTGTTATCCACTGTATGTTCAACATGTTCAGCAAATTTCAGCACACTTCACCAAGGAGTTTGCTATGGATGTCCCACTGAATGCTGCGTGCTATAGCTTCTTTGCGGGTACAATTGATAACCACAAAATGTACAGTGATTCTTGACCAAAAATCACACCATCATCAACTCCAGCAGCTGATGATTGAATGACTGTCAGAGTAGGTAAATATTCTGAATATACTACAATAAACCAGTGTGTGTCTGTTCTGTGAACTTTGGATGCGGTAAATACTGCCCAGCTTCCGACGTTTCGTGCTTGTCAGCTTTGATGTGTATTGTTTTGCGTTTGTTTTGTCTTCCTCCTCAAAAATGATGGCTGAAGCAAGTCACAAACAGAAAACTGCTATCATCGTTTTGCATTGCTAAGTCTGCAACGCCCATCACCGGCTGTCTGTAGACCACATGCCGAACGATGTCATCGCACCAACCGTCCAAAGTCAGGACCTGTCCCCACATGTGCACAGTGTGGATTGCAGACTTGCATCAGCGTGAGCCAGAACCCGTCTGTCCAAGGGCCGGAAGCCTGCAGAAGGGTGAACATTGACCTGGCCAAATCTGACAAAACCAACAAGCTTCAGCTGCAAAGCAATGAAGCGCTGCTGCCTAAACACGGTTCCAAAGTATTGCTTGTATGGCCATACCTGAAGGCAGTACAAGCTCAAGCAGAATGATTCTGAATGACAATGTGGTAGTCAAACTTGTCAAATATGTCATAATGCAGCTGCATTTGTGTTGCTTTATACTGAATGCTTCAAAACCACAAGCCCTTTGGACTCTTTTGAGTTGACTTGACTTGTCTGCCTCTCCATTGTAGGAAGGGCCAATTGCGTATGTCTCATCCTCATGCGAGGTCAATTTGAAGGGAACTCTGGATTTGGAGTCAGAAGTCTTCACGGGCGAAACAAAACAAAGAGGTGCTTTTGTCTTCTGTGTCTGGCGTGTCTTCTAGTCTTTCCAGGCTTCATTAATCTTCACCTTTCTTTTGACCTGAAGCATCTCTTATCTAGAATCTAGGAGAGCCTGACATCTCTTTTCACAGAAATTCTTAGACGGAAACATTTTGACCTATCTCTGCGGTGCAAATGATACCACAAACCTGAGCACAGCGTGGCGCAGCTTGACCGAACAGAGAAACCACTTCGAGCAAAACTTGCACGCTGTCCAAGTAGTCCAAGTATGTCTGTTTTTTGTTTCATGTCGTATTGTCTTTTATGCTACTTCTCAAAGCGCATCAAGCATCAAACCTTTAAACCATGTCGCAAGCCCCGCTCGTTCGTAAGCTTCCGACATAAATGAGCATGAACACAACTAGCCCTACCCACCTCAGCGCATCTAAATAGAATGGCAATTGGAATCTCATTGGTACAGAAGTTCCTTGGATCCTTTTGCTGCCTGCCAATAGATTGTCAGCTAGAGGAGATCAAAGAAAGCATCAAAGCTGGATGGGCACTGCTACTTTTGCAAGCAGTACGTTCCAGCTTCAATGAAGCAAAATCCATTAAAGCAACTGGAATGCAGTTTTAACAAATGAAGCAATCTGGGAAAGCATTTGTTCGGTCAAAGTACTCTAGGATGTCGCCCAGTGATTTGATGACCAACCTTTCAGCACCTTTGCAAACCATATTGCAGTCCACTGCAGTCCCTGCAAAGCCAACTGAACAGACCGAAAGCCAATAAGGTGATCATGTTGAGTTGAAGGGACGCATCGGCATTTCCCTGTGCAGAGTCTTGCTGCCGTCATTCTTGCTACATGACCTCCGCCCACACCATAATGCATATTCCCGTGAAAGGGATCGATATCCCCCGTGTTTCCTACGGGTCTCAAAGGTTAGACAAACATCGTCACAGGCAGTCTGGCAGTCTTACAGGACAGGCATCAGTCAATGGTTTCTTGTCTCTATGACCATCCATGGGTGCAATGGTCAAAACCATCAAAACGTCTCAGAACCCAGCTCTACTAGAGAGAAAATTACGCATCCATAAGAAGCAAGTCCCGGGCTGAAAGTCCCCCTGCACCCTTCAGATTCGCTCATTCGAGAATATGGTTCCTCCTTTACTTGGTCCATCACAGGCTCTGGGCCACCTATGGTGGTACCATAAAGAATAAATCTTCCAGACATCAGCTAGAAATCTTGAAAATGGAAAGTGGTTGCCCCAATTCAACTGCCAAATGAGCTGTCAAGACAGCATGATTTGATGTCATATCGCGGCCGGTCTTAGCACCTTAGCACCTGGCGACAAAGCCTTCACAGAGTTTGTAAGGCCTCAGAATGAGAAACCAAAGCAAAAGTAAATTGGACGCCGTGGTTTCAGTAAAGCCATGTCAATGTCCTTTCTGTGTAGGCAGATTCTTTGCACTAGCTGGAAGGCTTTGCATTGGCTTGCATGCTCCTGGCCCTTGCAAGAATTTGAAATCTAGGTGTCAAGCCGCCCACTAGCAGCCATAACTCTCGAAAAGCAGAGAACATTCTGACCTTTCAAAGACTGTCAGCATCAACATCATATATCTGATTTCTCTCGCCATTATGCCAGTAGTACTGCACTAGGCGGTGGCGGAAGTTTCAAGGCAGGACACTATAGGAGAGTGGGTTGTTGTGATGCATGGATGGCAGAGCAAATCCATTGATAAACCAAAAGGTAAGTGAAAATTGTTCCCCACATCTTTGTCTGGGGTTCTTGTTTTTGGTTGTGCACTCCCGCTTGCCTCCTTCTCCTCCTGTCGCCGCCTCCCTCACACCCAACTTGTTCACACCCAACTTGCTCACACCCAACTTACTCACACACAACTTACTCACACACAACGTGTCCACACACAACTTGTTCACACACAACTTGTCCACACACAACTTACTCACACACAACTTGCTCAAACACAATTTGCTCGCACGCAACTTGCTCACACACAACTTGTTCACACACAACTTGCTCACACACAATTTGCTCGCACGCAACTTGCTCACACACAACTTACTCACACAACTTCCTCACACACAACTTACACACACAATTAGTTCACACACACCTTACTCACCCACAACTTGCTCACACCCAACTTGTTCACACACAACTTGTCCACACACAGCTTGTTCACACACAACTTACTCACACACAATTTGCTCACACACAACTTGCTCACACCCAATTTGCTCACACACAGCTTGCTCACACACAACTTGCTCACACCCAACTTACTCACACACAACTTACTCACACACAACTTGTTCACAACTTGCTCACACACATCTTGCTCACACACAACTTACTCACACACAACTTGCTCACACACAACTAGTCCACACACAGCTTGTTCACACACAACTTGCTCGCATACAACTTGTTCACGCACACAACTTGTCCGCACACAGCTTGTTCACACGCAACTTACTCACACACAAGTTGCCGGCACTGGGCTGGCTCTGGTGGGGCGCTTGGGTTTCAATTGACATGGTGGACGCCGCTGCTGTTTGTGTGGCAGGCGTGGCGCTTGGCGACATCGGCCTTCACTTTGCGTGGCAGGCGTGGCACTTGGCGACATTGATGTGAAATCTACGCGGCAGGCGTGGCGCTTATATGGCACTGGGCAGGCTCTGGCGGCGCGCTTGGGTCCCAGTTGACACCGTGGACGCCGCGGCTGTTTGTGTGGCAGGCATGGCGCTTGGCGGCATCGACCTTGACTTTGCGTGGCAGGCGTAGCACTTGGAGACATCGAGGCGCCTATGGCACTGGGCAGGCTTTGATTGGAAGAAGTTGACACGTGGGGTTATCCGGTCCCTCCATGTTTTTTGGAATGGTTGCAGTGGATGCAGCGGTCACCTCATCACAACTCCTGGATGAAGTGCGGCGTGGCGCAGTTGTAGTTGTAGCTGTAGTTGTAGTTGCAGTGTAGTGTAGTGGAGGTGTAGTTGTAGTGTAGTGTAATTAGTGTAGTGCAGGTGTAGTTGCAGTTGCAGTTATGGTGTGGTGTGGTGTAATTGATGTAGCGTAACGTAATGTATATATAGTGCCGGACAATCACTTAGAACATCGTTTGGAAAACGCTTTTTTAAATGCCGAAGAATATGTTTGGAACAGCCGGGAACTCTCACACTTAGAACATGGAAAACACATCGTTTAGAACATCGCATAATGATCTATTGACATAACTAGATTTATATGAACGCAAGAGTTATCAATTAGCTGTGGAGACCCCCACACTTAGAACATCCCAAGACATTACAACATGTGTATGTATATATATATAATTAAGGTCCCCCACCCACACAGAATATGGAATTGAAATTTTGGCTTCCCCGGACATCCCAGGAATTGAACTTGAAAAACAATACTTCGAATATTTTAGAATACAGTTGACGTCAAAAAACCTATACTTAGAATACCGTTGGACAATATAAATTCTTTCACTTTTCGAGACGAATTCGTCATTTTTCCATAGAAATTCTTCACTTTTCTTTATAAATCCTTCACGTTTCCATACAAATTCTTCACTTTTCCATATTTTTGCCACATCATTTTCCCATATATGTTTTTCATTTTTCTTTAAACATCCATCACATTTTCCATGCAAATTCTTCACAAGTTTTTCACTTTCCGAACTTCTTCCATATAAATTCTTTCATGCTTCCAGACAAATAGATAGGTATGTTTTTCACAAGGTGTTTGGTGCCAACATCAAAAACTGGCAGGGTCCCCAAATTGACCGATTTTCTTATTACTTTGCGTGCTAAAAAGTACATTTTTCGCCGCTGCATAGAGATGTACAAAGGCTTCGAGAGCAAAGGCCAATTGGGGAGAAAAAAATCAACATGAAATGGGGGAATATTCTAAGTACATGTTCGGCAAATTTGCCTGTGCAATTGAAACATGCATATTCTATGTAAGCGGAGAAGCTCATATTTCTATAATGATCTATTGACATAACTATATTTAATTGAACGCAGAGTTGTCAATCAGCTGTGGAGACCCCCACACTTAGAACATCCCAAGACATTACACACACACATATATATATGTGGAGGGGACCTTTATGTATAGAATGACGGGGTTTGGGAAACAATTCCTCACAACACCTACAATAACTGTCCGAAGGCGAATTTTGATTTCATCTGCCGCCGCTCCACCCTTTCACATTTCCATCTCGGTTCTGAGGACTTGAGGACCTCAATTACTATTCCATAGAAAAGGCTAGTCTAAAATCCGATCTCCTTATTCAGCTCCTTTTCAATGTTTCTTTGAATTCATGGGTGCATTTCGTTTGGCTTTCCTTCAAGTTTGCTGTCATATTTATCCTGGCCTGTCTAGCCTTTGTACATGTCCTTTTCGAAAGTAATTTAAATTAAAAACCAGTTGATTTTGTCTTTTCCGGTTCCTTCTGAAACTTTCTTGCGAAGATCAATTTCCTTCTAGTTTCACTTTGAAGCTATTTCCAATGTTCGTTGGAACAATTCTCTTTAGACACGATCCAAAAACGGCGGTGCCATTATAAAGCATAGGGCGGGCCAAGGCATTTTGTCTCGCATGCAATGTAAAGCGTATGCTTTTCATTGCTTTCGTCTGTCCCACCTCTTGGGATTCTCTACGCCTTGCCTCGCCGCTTCTCCACAGCTTCTTACCCTCCCCTCTCTGCACCTACAAATGAGAAAGACGCGGAAAGGGAGTGAAGTACGTGAAAATGTGTGGGTGGAAGGGTAGGTGGAAGGGGTGGATATGGTTGGAGAGGTTGGGTGAAGGTGATGCTAGGGTGATGCGAGGGTGGAGCGAGGCTGGAGCGAGGGTGGAGCGATGGTGGAATGAAGGGTGGAGTGTGGAGAATGTGGTCAAAAATTGATACCAAATAAAAGGATACATCTATTGCATTTATTCACATCCTTTGCGTGATCCACTGCTTGGGATTCTCTCCTTCCCTTTTCTCTTCTCCGCAGTTTTTTCTCTTCTCTCCCCTCTCCACCCTTCTACAGTTCCATCTCCGCTCAATACCCTCATACCTCGTCTGAAAAGAATGTTAGGGGCAGAAAGTGTGGAGAGGAGTGAGCAGGGATGGAAAGCGGAGAGAGTTAAATGAAGTTGGGGTGATGGGCGGGTCACGATGAAGAGTTGGGTGTGGCGAAACGCAAACGCAGATGGATGGAGAAAAAGAAAATGTACTTTGAATTGATGCAAGTAATTCATCCTGACTGCGGTCTTATCTATATAGTCATTTCTTTTCAAAACTACTTTGAAGTTCAGTTGAGATGGTCGAACAAAGTGAAAAGTCTGTCTACTTTCTGTGGGAAATTCTCTTTAGACATAATCCAAAAGCAGCAGTGCCATTGCAAAGCATACATAGGGTGGACTAAGGCAATTTGCCTCAGGCAATGTAAAGTGAATGCTTTTCATTGCTTTTCTGTGAGGGGGAGCGAGGGCGGAGCGAGGGTGGAGTGAATGGTGGAATGAAGGGTGAAGAAGGTTGCCGAAAATTGATACAAAAACGATGCATATTTATTACGTTCTTTGCTTGATCCACTTCTTGGGCTTCTTCCCTTGCCTTTTCACTTCTCCGCAACTTTTTCTCTTCTCTCCCCCTCTCGACTCTTCCACATTTCCATCTCTGCCTCTGCTCAACACCTTCATTCCTGTTCTGAAGATAAGGTGCCAGCGGACAAAGGGGTGAAGAGGAGTGAGCAGGCATGGAAAGCGGAGAGGGTTAAATGAAGTTGGGGTGATGGGCAGGGTCACAATGAAGGGTTGGTCGGTGGGGTGTAATGAAAGGCAGATGGGTGGTGAGAAAGAAAATACGATACATACATAAACAATTCATCCCGACTGCTCTTCTATCTATTTAGCAATTCCTCTCAAAAGCATTTGAATTTCAGCTGAAATTGTTTTTTCCAGCTCCACTTAAAATTTGCTTTCAAGCATCAAAATAAAATTGTCTTCTAGTTTCTTTAAAACTATTTTTCACTGTTCGTTGGAATAATTCTCTTTAGACATGATCCAAAATTGGCGGCGACACTTTAAAAGGCAGAGGGTGGTCCCATGCATTTTGCTTTGCAGGCAATGTAAAGTGGATTGTTTTTACAATCCAATTATGAGGATTTTGGTGCTGTTTTCTTGTCGGGATTACCACACTAAAGTGTCTGCTTTCATTGCTTTTCTTTATGTGTCAATGCTTGACCCATTGATACCTGTCCACCTGTGCTTTTCCTCTCTTTCTTTGCGCTTTGCCTTGCCACTTTTCCACGGCTTCTTGCCTTCCCCTATCTCCACCTACAGAGAAGAAAGAAGCTGAAAATGAGGTGAAAAGGCCTAAAAACGGGTAGGCGGTAAAGTGTGAATGGAAAGGGGGGCGGATGCCAGTGGAGGGGTTAGGTGATTGGTAGTAAGGGTGATGCCATGGTCCGGCCAGGATGGAGTGAAGGTGGAGCGAGGGTGAAGCAAAGATCGAGCAAGGGCAGCAATAGCTCAATGAAGGGTGGAGAAGGTTGCACAAACTTGATAC